CAGGTCAGGGCTGTCTCCATCCTCCTCCTCCCAGCAGGACGCTGCACAGAGCTGGGGATAGAGTTGGTGTATCCCTTACAGGAGGGTTTTTTCTGCCTGTTCTTGAGCCTGTAATCACAGATAAAACCGAAAAAGTGATTTGAAGCTGCTATCTGGCCCAAGAGGAAAAAAATCTGAACAGAAACACATATAATCCCGTATGAGACAAGCCCAGAATAATCTAATTGGATTCTTTCTTAAGATAAATTCTACAGCACCGTTATCTCCTTGATAATTTACTGCACACAGTAATAAGCAAACAAAGAAAAACTGCTCTTGGTTAAATCTTTCAGTCAGATTCCTGCATCCCGAAAGACTTCTTTTTTAACTGAAAAAAGCAAGCTGTATTTTTCCTGGGAAGGCCTTCCTAGCTTGGGTTTTTAACAGCCACCGCACGGTGTGAAAAGAATCCTTCTGGAAATTCTGAATTTTGTTGCTCCTGTTAACCCTTTTCGGCCAGTTTCTCGTTCACAGCAGGGATGTCACTGATGATGATCCGAGGATGCTGCCGGGCGCAGTGCCGAGGCCGAAGCCCACTCCCCACCACGGTCCCCCTCCCTGGCATGGGCTGAAGCCCCCAGGGTGATGGCCAGTGGGAGCCCAAGGCCGGGGAACGGTGACAGCAGCAGAGAGAGGAGCCTGAGAGCTTGGGGCCAGGCTCTTTCCAAGAGAAACAGCACAGATTCAAAGCAGCAGCATTTAATTCCACATCAACCCATTCCCAACCACACCGTACATGGAGGGACCGCCTCGCTTTACAGCCTGTGGTTTAAGGCGACAAAGGAAAGGAAATAACGCTGAGAGATTCCACTTGAGAGGAATACATGGTTGAATTGTGCATTACTTCAAGGAGCTCATCTAGAATTACACCTTCCCCCCACCAACCGCTCAGAAACCCAGCGGTGTTGCTTATAAAAGTTCTTATTTATTTATTTTTTCTCCAAAGTCAGCGTTGTTGTTATGGGCTGTGCTGCAGTGCTCTCTGCTGGCACCAGCCTGGGAGTTCCTGGGATGCTACAGCTGAGCCAAGGCAGGATGAGGCTGTCACTGCCCTGAGTCTGTGTCCCCCTGGGGACTGCCCTGCTGGGGCCACCAGCCCCTGGGCCACCCCCCCGGGAACCCCGAGACACCAACTCTGCTTCTGTGCATTTGCTTCCTGAGGCTGTATTTACATTCAGGGTGGCACGTCTCTAAAGTTCTCTGCTTGAAAACCCCTGCACACGCACCCCCTGGCCCTGCTGCCCCCTTTGCCCTCTCGCTGGCAATATTCAGGAGGTGTTTTCTCTTCTCACTTTTTGGCAAAAACACACAGAAGTGTTCCAGGTCTCTTCTCACCAGAGGAGACCTGAGCTACATCCCACCATTTTATCCATTCCCAAGGCAAAGGTCTCTGACACTGTCTGATGGAAAGCACCCAGAGGACCAAAGATCAGACGTGATTTTCTTGAAAAATCTCCTTTTTTGTGTTGTTCCTGGTGCCCCGTGGCAGGGACAGGGCTGACAGTGCCTTTCAAACACCTCCAGGAAGGGGCTGCTGTAATTCCCAGGCTGTGCTGCCGGGCTCCATCCCACCTCCTCACAGCTGACTCACGCCACGAAAAACTAGATTGTTGCTTGCTCGGAGTGGCTTTGGTTAATAACTGCTATTTTAACTCCAGCCCGGGGAGAGCTCAGTGAAACTCCCTGCACCGTCCTAGATTTCCATCACCAAGGTCCAAAGCCACCACCTCGGTTGGTTCTTTCTCCACAAAGGCACCAGGGAGCTCTTCCCTCCCGCTCCCACCGGGTCCGTGGGGGTTTTTTTGGGGTGTTTCTGAAGGGCAGCCTCTGAACGCTGGGTGTGGGGAAGGGTGCAGCTCTCACACACTGCAGAGCCCCACTCTGCTTCCCTTTTTTTTTTTATTTCAGGCCACTTTCTGCCTGTTCCCACGGCTGGTCGGCCCCAGCATCCTCCTGCTGCAGCCCTGCTCCTTCTGCAGCATTTATAATCCATTTATAAGGTGTGTGTCCCCGTTCCTGTCTGGCACAGCCAGCTCCTTTCCAACCCCAGGAATAACCCGACCCAACCCCAGGGACTGCAGCCCCGTAAACGCTCCCCTTTCGTTCTCATTATCTCTGCCTTAAAATCTCCCAAAGCCATCGCGTTATCGCTAATTGTGTCCCTTTTAATTTCATTTCCCCTTCGTCACCCCCCAACTAATGCAGCCTGGCCTGGCAAGGTTTACCTGTGGCTATTAAACTTCTAGTTACAGTTACAGTATGACTGCTGATAGCTTTTGAGAACGTAAAAGAACTCTAGAGGAAGTCAAGAGGAAAACCCAAAATCTTAAAAAATAATAAGAAATGAGCTGAGAACCGACTATGACAAAGACAGCAATACTGACAGCATTATATTGGGTTTACATTTTAAAAATGGAATTAGTTAGATGGGAATGAAAGAGCAAGAAGCAGCAGTGCCCAGCACCCTCCTCACCCTGAGGCTCCACGTGCAGAGCAGAGCAATGTCCTGCACGGACCTATTGACACCCACACGCATGTAGGGCGTGTATCTGTACATGTATCTGTTCGTATGGGGTATGTACCATAATAAATGACCTCAAATCACTCTCTTTCTGGCATCTCACCCGGATGCCTCACTCCAGAGGCCAGACAGACATGAAAGGGGGGAACAGATGAACCTTTTCAAGGGTTTCAAGATCAGATCGGTGCAAATTCCACCAAAACCTAGTGGTAAAGTAAACCTTTAACCTTCAAAATCCACATCCAGAATCCTGAGCAAAATCCCCAGCACTGTGGAGTTCACAGTGATGCAGTCCGGCCACAAAGAACTGAAGGAAACCAAACAGCCCCTGCCCTGGAACTAAGCTACTAAAAAAAAATACATATTAAAAGAAATAATATGATTTTCTAGTATTGCCTCCGAGTTGATTTATTCCTGATATAAAGCTAAACTTTGCAATGATATGTACTTTTTTCATGCATTATTCTAGATGGCAGTGTAAATCAACTGAGAGTGCAGTCAGTAAAGTTGTTATTGCCATCTCTAAAAATCCTACACTATGGAAATGATTCAAAGAATTATTAATATTTCCTATATCCATATGTGCTGTGCTTCCTGGGAAGGCACACACACACAGAGGTTTTGAAAGTCAAAATAGAGCCACGATGTGGCTTAAAATAGTCCTGATGATGGAGATTAATCTCTGCTGCAATTATTTTTTCCCCGTGGTTTTGTGGCATCTAAAAAAATGGTGGAGACCATCACCTTCCCAGCGCTGGGGATGCCAGCCACTCTGCTTCCCTGCATCCCTGGGGGGGAACCCCATCCCACCCCACACCGTCCTGCCCCACAGACCTGGGGATGACAGGGCTGGGGTGTCAGAGCATCCCTGGGGGGGAATCCCGTCCCGCCCCACAGACCTGGGGATGACAGGGCTGGGGTGTCAGAGCATCCCTGGGGGGAACCCCGTCCTGCCCCACACCGTGCAGCCCCACAGACCTGGGGATGACAGGGCTGGGGTGTCAGAGCATCCTGGGGGGGAACCCCATCCCGCCCCACACCGTGCAGCCCCACAGGGCTGGGGTGTCAGAGCATCCCTGGGGGGGAACCCCATCCCACCCCACACCGTCCTGCCCCACAGACCTGGGGATGACAGGGCTGGGGTGTCAGAGCATCCTGGGGGGGAACCCCATCCCGCCCCACACCGTGCAGCCCCACAGACCTGGGGATGACAGGGCTGGGGTGTCAGAGCATCCCTGGGGGGAACCCCGTCCTGCCCCACACCGTGCAGCCCCACAGGGCTGGGGTGTCAGAGCATCCCTGGGGGGGAACCCCATCCTGCCCCACACCGTGCAGCCCCACAGACCTGGGGATGACAGGGCTGGGGTGTCAGAGCATCCCTGGGGGGAACCCCATCCTGCCCTACATTGTGCAGCCCCACAGACCTGGGGATGACAGGGCTGGGGTGTCAGAGCATCCCTGGGGGGAACCCCGTCCTGCCCCACACCGTGCAGCCCCACAGGGCTGGGGTGTCAGAGCATCCCTGGGGGGGAACCCCATCCTGCCCCACACCGTGCAGCCCCACAGACCTGGGGATGACAGGGCTGGGGTGTCAGAGCATCCCTGGGGGGAACCCCATCCTGCCCTACATTGTGCAGCCCCACAGACCTGGGGATGACAGGGCTGGGGTGTCAGAGCATTCCTGGGGGGGAATCCCATCCCACCCCACAGACCTGGGGATGCCAGGGCTGGGGTGTCAGAGCATCCCTGGGGGGAACCCCGTCCTGCCCCACACCGTGCAGCCCCACAGACCTCCCAGCATCACGCAGGAGAATGCGGGGCAGTTCTCAACAATCCCTTGTTTGATTAAGGCCAATTATATTCACATCCCACCCAGGAATGTGCCAACAGGGAGCCGGGTACCGGCGGGGAGCGGGGCTGCTGTGGCCGCGCATCGTTCCCCGGACACCTCCATCCATCCATCCATCCATCCATCCCTCCATCCATCCATCCATCCATCCATCCCTCCCCGCCGGGTCCCCGTCCTGCCCCACACCGTGCAGCCCCACAGACCTCCCAGCATCACGCAGGAGAATGCGGGGCAGTTCTCAACAATCCCTTGTTTGATTAAGGCCAATTATATTCACATCCCACCCAGGAATGTGCCAACAGGGAGCCGGGTACCGGCGGGGAGCGGGGCTGCTGTGGCCGCGCATCGTTCCCCGGACACCTCCATCCATCCATCCATCCATCCCTCCATCCATCCATCCATCCGTCCATCCATCCATCCGTCCGTCCCCGCCGGGTCCCCGCGTCGGCGCTGGCAGGTGCGGTGCCGGCGTTGCCAGCGCCACGCCACGCACACGGACACCCACGTCGGTGCCTGGTTACCGTCACGGCGCAGCCATCGTCCCCCCTCCCCAGCACCCAGCGGGCTCTAATCCCCGCAGACGGCGGGAGCCGAGCCGGAGCGGCAGCAGGAGTTGCTTTGTTTGTGCTGACTTGGGTAAGCAAAAATACCATTTCCTCAATAGCCATTTGCTTTTTCCTCTCTCTTCTGTGCGGCGAAGCAGGTGGGATTCCGGCTAACCTGGGTTTGTTTTTTTTTTTTTAATCTTTAAATGAATTTTATCTCGTAAAGAGGAAAATAGGGGAGGACCTCTCGGCACAGACTGTCAGTCTCGTACCTACAGCACTCGTGGTATGTTTAGTGATTTCGTAGAAAGCTGCCTTCTGACATTTTTACTAGGAAAGTATTTTAAGGAATCAATTATTTATAATGAAAATTGTGGTTTTGAAAGTGTTTATCGAGGACTCCTGAGTTAACACAGTGTTTCTGAATCGATGGAGCGGTGGGATGAATACAACACGTTTAATGTGGATTTGTTTTTAATGGCGAGCTCATGTTTTCAATTTCTTGTTCTTTTGTCCCTGAACAGAGAGGCTGGCTGGGCAGTTAATTCATTCACATGCAGATTGCTTGTTTTGGTGTATTTTTTAAAGCAAAACCCTTCAACTTTGTGTTCTTGTATTCTTTTTTCTGTAAACTTCTTTCTAATTCTAAAGGCAAATCCCGAAAGCAGCACGTATCTTCCCCCCACATGTAACTTTGTCACAAGACTATTAATCATGTCTTACAATAATTCTGCTAATGCAGTATATCCATTCAGAAACAGAGTGTCTGCAGATGGATTTGTTACTGGGAGATACAAAAGCAGAACAAATTTCTTCAGGAAATATTTAAGCAAGGTCATAATAACACTCATTACACTGTAAGCAACGATGTGTCATTTGCTGGATGAGACCGACGATCGCAGCCGTCGCCTTTATTGACTGAGTCTGTAGAAGAGCCCAAAGGTTAGACATTAATATTGAAACTACTTACTACTTGCAGCATATACTCATCAGGCTGAAGTCCTGCACTTTGCTTAATTTGTTATGGCGGGGGAGAGGGAGGCTCAGCAAATGACAGCAGTGTTATGTACTTCACTTTCACCTCCCAGGGTCTGTACCTGCATCCATCAGCGAGCGTTGCCATGTCAGTGTGAAAGCTTAATGCATGAGTGTTCTTGCAATGTCAAAAGGTGGATGGACAGAGGGTGAGCACGGACCCTGCCCAAGCTCAGGTGTTGAAAATAGTGCATTTTGCAAGTGTGTGTTGGGTGCATTCTGTCCGTGCATCCCACTGCTACTGCTGGAATACGTGTCACCCAGGCAGGGGGTGATGCTCACACCAGCGGGGTGTCAGGAGGGCTCTGAGGAACCAAGCAGGTCAGGAATGTGATGGGAGCACGTGGATGGACACATCCTGTGGCAGGAAAACCTGCCAGTCTGAGCACAGACCCAAATAGTGCATTTTGCAAGTGTGTGTTGGGTGCATTCTGTCTGTGCATCCCACTGCTGCAGCTGGAAGACGTGTCACCCAGGCAGGGGGTGATGCTCACACCAGCGGGGGGTCAGGAGGGCTCTGAGGAACCAAGCAGGTCAGGAATGTGATGGGAGCACGTGGATGGACACATCCTGTGGCAGGAAAACCTGCCAGTCTGAGCACAGACCCATTTGCCCAACTTTTGTCAGGATGCTTTCTATTGCTGTGGAAATCAAAGGTGGTTCAGTGAAGGGAGCAGCCCCATTGACCTGTGTGCCAGCACTGAGAAAGGTCAGGATGCTGCTGGACCAGAGCTGGAATAAATAGGAATAAACAGCAAAACCCAGGCAACAAATAAATCAAACACTGCATTCCTGCAAACTGCTGCGAAGTGCAACAAGTGCCTTAACCAGATTGAGAGACAAAGTAAAGACAATTCCCAGAGCCTGCCCTGGGAGAGTCACCCGTCCCAAAATCCTGTCCTTCATCAAGCCCCTTTGGAAATGCTTCCCCAAGTATCAAAAGAGAGAAAAGTAGTGAGAATAATGGGATCCAGCCTGAGGAAGGTGGGCAGGTATTCATCACCCGAGCGCATATGCAGCTTTACATTTCAGGCAATTCAAACATTTGGTTATTTTGCTCTGAAAATAGCAGCACTTATCCCCTTCCTCGCAGGAAGGCGAGGGGAGGCAGGAAATGACTGGCTCGTGATGGCACAGAAAAACTGAGAAAGCAGGAAATCAAATACACGTGTAGGGAGTCAGAGCGATTCATCCAGCCTTTCCCCCAGCTATCAGCGACGCCAAATGCCGCGCAGAGAGTGACAGAAGGAGGAACTATAAGATGAGCAGATGATTCACAGGAGAATAAAGAAAACACGGAACTACCTTCCTTCAGGAGCAAAATCCATTTTAAAAAGAGACTTGTTGAAGTCGTTAAGGAATGAAACGTGAGGGTGCTGAGGGAGTCGAGCTTAAACCAGCAAACCTTGGGCAAATCTGACACTGGTGCTCGAATGGGCCCAGTGCACAGAAGTGAGTGTACGAGGTTCCCTGCCACCTCCCCCCGGGGGGGACTGTCACCTCCGTCCCGGTGCCCCAGCCTGGACCAGCCACCCCAGGAGGGATTTCTGGGCTGCCCCCAAAGAGCTCATGCCAACTGGGCCGTGCTTCAGCAAAGGAACGGGGACTAAAATACTGTTTGTCCCTGGGGCCAGGCTGACCTACTTTTTTTTTTTTTTTAATATTTATTTCACATCCTTTGTTTGACAGGAGGCTGGGAAAGAAACAGAGAGGGCATCTGCCTTTTACCCGTCATCCACCATCCACCCTCCACCACCCGCTGGCATTGTCACTCGGTATTGGGTTAAAGTGGGTAAAACTCACCTTCCCCCGGCAGCTGGACGTCTCTGCTGAGAAATCCCTTTTTGTGAGGCTCCAGTTCTGCAGACCTTGGGTGGGATGGGCAGGTCACTGCGAAGGCAAACTTCCTTTTGGGGCTCAAAGTACTGGCAGGAAGGTTTCTACTAATTGATCAGCATTTTTGTGAAGGACTTTTGATCTTCCCTGACTCCAAACAGCAGGAAATGGCTGGTTTTTACAAGGAGCTGTATTTCTAGGAGTTACACACATCAGAATCCAGAAGGTAAACAAAGGTCAGGTGCACGTTGGCCTTTGGTGCTTTTATAGACTGAAGCCTTCAATTGTTTACAATTGAGTGAATTTTGTTTTCAATAATGTTAAATTAACCTTTAAAAAATTGTGTCAAGGAGCTCAAAACCCTGAAACCGTGCTAATTAAGGAGATAAACGAGGTTCAGGGGGAATTCAATATCTGAGCTGTCTGTCACGAAACAACATCTTCCAGCTTTTTTCTCTGCTTTAATACTTCTGCCTTTTCCAAACGCTTCGTCCTACGCAAGAGACTGTGCTTTGTCCTTCAAAGGGACAGTTGTGTCTGTGAGGCTGTGGGGTGACTGTTCCTGCTCTTGGGAAGCACGATGCTCCATGTGGAGGGGCTGCTCCCCATGCCAGGGAGATGCCCCACGTGCTGAGGGGATGGTCCCCATACCAGGGGGATGCTCCATGTGCTGAGAGGCTGAGCTGTCTGTCACGAAACAACATCTTCCAGCTTTTTTCTCTGCTTTAATACTTCTGCCTTTTCCAAACGCTTCGTCCTACGCAAGAGACTGTGCTTTGTCCTTCAAAGGGACAGTTGTGTCTCTCAGGCCGTGGAGTGACTGTTCCTGCTCTTGGGAAGTGCGATGCTCCATGTTGAGGGGCTGCTCCCTATGCCAGGGGGATGCTCCCCGTGCCAGGGGGATGCTCCATGTGGAGGGGCTGCTCCCTATGCCAGAGGGATGCTCCGTGTGGAAGGCCGTGGAGTGACTGTTCCTGCTCTTGGGAAGTGCGATGCTCCATGTTGAGGGGCTGCTCCCTATGCCAGGGGGATGCTCCATGTGCTGAGGGGATGCTCCCTGTGCCAGGGGGATGCTCCATGTGGAGGGGATGCTCCCCGTGCCAGGGGGATGCTCCATGTACTGAGGGGATGCTCCCCATGCCAGGGGGATGCTCCATGTGCTGAGGGGATGCTCCCTATGCCAGGGGGATGCTCCTTGTGCCGAGGGGATGGTCCCCGTGCCCAGGGGGATGCTCCCTGTGCCGAGGGCACTGCTGGCAGCACCCAAACACCTGCTGCCCAGGGAGCTCCATGTGCCAAGGGGATGCTCCCTGTGCCAGGGGGATGCTCCTCATCCTGAGGGCACAGCTGGCAGCACCCAAACCCCTGCTGCCCAGGGATATTTTCAGTGTACTTCTTTTGTGTCCTGATGGTGTGGACAAGCCACGTTTTTTTATTATTTTTTTTCTAGTCTCAGGGCTTCTTTTTCACCTTCCAGCGTTCTTCCAGCTCTGTAATGTCAGATCCGATCTCATTAAGAGCGCTTAGATGTTTGTATAACATTTCACACCTCGTGCAAGCTCCAATTCCCCACCTCTCAGGTGAGCTCCCCCGGGAGCGTTACGGTCCTTAGGAGCTGTGCAGCCGGGGCTCTAAAGAGCTTAGTGCTGGGGGGAGGTCAGGGACTGGGACCTGGCCAAGGTCAAGTCGCCCATGAGCCACGGCGCGTGTTCCAGACACACGGCTCAGGCAGGAGTCCTGACAGAGCAGATCTCCTGTAGCTCCATCCTCCAGCGCCCATAACCCGTGCTCAGCCATCTCCACAAACTGGGGTTTTTTGGGGGCTGTTCTCACCCCCACGCACCGAGTAGGAGCCACAGAGGGGGACCGGTTGCTCCACGGCTGCAGCATCAACACCCCATCAGGGCAGGGCACCCCCTCGCCATCCCACCAGCCAGCGTCACAGCCCTGCAAGAAAAAGGCAATGGGAAGGTTATGAGTCAGAGCAAAAGCAATCTGTCAGTTAACAGCACTCAAAGACGACAGCAGTGCAAACTGTACAAGACAGATCAACAAAATGTTTTCTATCGATCCCCCTCCCCGCAGTCACGAGCTCTTTAAACTGTTTATTATTTGAGCGATAAAGCGGCTCAACTATAATCCATCTCCATCACTGGTTGTACCTAACTTCTAATCCATTAACTCATGGAGGCCTTAGTTAAAATTAGCAACCGTTCAGCATAGAAATATGAAGCACAATGTAAACATTTGTAATTGCCAGCACGCGCTAGATGAGTACACTGACGAGCGAGCAGTACCATATGGTCACCAGCTCCTCACCAGCTCCTCCCCAGCTGATCTGGTGTTTCACTCCGGCAGGGACACGGGCAGCGTCGTGGCTGTGAGCAGCAAAAGCAGCAGAGAATTCCACACACTTGAAAAATCTGGCTCCTCTGACCCAAAAAACACCATTCGCGGCACCCTGAGCCCAGCTGGCTGGGAGCAGTCCTGTTCTTCACCTGAGCACGTGCCCCGTCGGTCACCTCTCTCCTCCTCCTCCTCTTCCTCGCAGCGTTCCCTGCTTCCACTCTGGAGGAGATGGGTCGCAAGGAAGAGGACGACAGCAGCTCCTGGAAGAAACAGACGAGCAACATCCGAAAAACGTTCATTTTCATGGAGGCCCTGGGATCGTAAGTACCAGAGCTGCTCCCCAGCCAGAGCCACCTCCCGGCACCCTCTCCCCAGCCCAGGGCCACGACTCCCTGGGACTGGCCAATGTCACAAGAAAACATCTCCTCCTGAGTCGGGCACCGATCCTGAGGTGATCGGGGACTGATCCTGAGGTGAGGGGTGGGCTCTGGAGCTGTGATTCATGTCTCACACTCACTGAGTGGCACCAAAACAGCTCCTTCCCACCAGCTCCGGGGCAGCTCTGCCCTTTCCTCCTTCCCCTTGAAGCCCACATGGCCAACCAGTTCAGTTTTTGCCCGTTTCCTGCTGGAAATTTTGCCCATTTCCACTGCCCTGCTGCTGCTGCAAGGTCAAGCAAGGTCAAGGGATGGCTCCGGGAGAGGCATTATAACAATAATGTGTATATTTAGCTCATAAACCCTGACTGGGTTGGGGGATGAAACAAGAACAAGGATGTTGAAGGCACACAATACTTCTCCGGGAGTTAACAGCTTAATTTGCCTATTCATGCGAACGAGACAAGAAAACATTTCCAAGGTGGTGGAGGAGGAATTGAATTACCTCCACCAGCAAGTTCCGTCACAGGCAAATTTTCTGCGACTTCAGAACCCACAGCAGAGCTCCCGAAAAACAGCTACTCCTGAGCTGGGCAACATTTTAAATTATCCTGTTCCTGATCAGCCTCAGAAATTAGTCAAATTATCCAACAGCTTTCTCTAAAGGAACAAGGTTAGAAAAAGCTTTGTTCTCTCCTAGCCAACTTGTTGATTCATCATTTTTTAATAAGGGGCATAATTATTATAAACTGTTAGGGACAGATATATAGAACAGATGCCCCAGCATCTGATTTGTAGGTTGTTCATTTCCTACTATTACATTAATAGGAAAATTTAGCATTAGAAATTGGGATTTTTTCCACATGCACCACTTCAGCTACCCAAAGGACAGAAACAAAGATCTGGGACCTAAAACTACCTGGAAACTTACTATTACCTTCCCCAGCTGTTGGATCAGGGACCTTAGTGAGGACGTCCCTTCCCATTCCCTGAGAGCCCTCAGGAACTTGAAAGGCTTTTCCACGGAACAGCCTGTGGAGCCAATCTTTGGAGAAAATGGTGTGAAACAAGGAAAAGGTCTCAACACCAACTGCTTTTTGGGCCAGGAGAGAGAAGGCCATTGCACACAATTTACTGAGTGAAACAAAGTGGTTCCCAGTGAGAGGACGAGGGGCAACGGGCACAAGCTGGAACATAAGAGGTTCCACTCAAATATGAGGAGAAACTTCTTCACGGTGAGGGTGACAGAGCCCTGGAACAGGCTGCCCAGGGAGGGTGTGGAGTCCCCTTCCTTGGAGATTTTCAAGACCTGCCTGGATGCTCCTGAGTAACATGCTCTGACAAGCTCTAGGCAATCCTGCTTCAGCAGGGGAGTTGGACTAGATGATCTCTATGGTCCCTTCCAACTCTAGAAATTCAGTGAAAGATTCGAGCTCATCTGTTGGGCCACCTTCCTAAAAATCTGTGGGTTTTTTTCTTTGGGTGGTTTTTGTTGTTTTGTTTTTTTTTTTCAAAAGGAATCCCTCGTCCTTGCTAGGAACCAGTCCTGGGAGAGCCCAGTTCCTCACAGCCCCAGTGGTCTTGCACAAGATTTCAGCAGCACCCAGGGGCCCATGGAGGAGAAGGAGGATGAGGAGGAGGAAGGCTGAGATGAGCAGAGCAAGGAGCTGCCTCCGGCTCCTGCGGCCCCTGCGTCATGGCCGGCTGCCGCTCGCTAACGAAGACACAGGAGCGAAGCACCGCTCGCCAGATGGGCACAGCTCCGTGCTCAGCCCATCTATCTGCACCGTGCACTGGATTCTTTGTTTAATGGATTATAGGAGGTTTTCTGCCCTTGTTTACTGGGTTTCCAGCAATAGCATCCCAACCAGAAAGGTGCTTCCACGGTGTTCACCTTCCTCCCTCCGCCCTCCAGGGCTTTGCAGACTCAGTGGCAAGTTCCATTTAACTGCCATCAATTAATCTGCTGCTCGTTTGATGAGGATTATTGAGGACTGGCCTGGCAAAGTATGCACTGTCACTACCCCGAGACATGTGTTCGGCTGCCTAAGACAAACCTTTAACAGGATTGTGAGCTTTAGGCATGTTATAAATACCTGCTCACGGCTGCTGCGGGGTTCACCTTATCAGGGCTGCACCAGAGACTCACTGTCCCAGGGTTACGCAGGTATTGGCAGTCCCTGCAGAAAGGAAAACACATGAGATGTTGAAATTAAAATATTAACTGAGGTTACCCAGTTATTTTGCACTTTAGATATAGAGCACGTTGGTTGGTACACCCAAACTGCAGCATAATTGGGCTCTTCTCACTGCAGTTGGGCTGTCTCAGCCCTCAGGGCGATGCTGACAGGGAAAGTGAAGTGTCCTAAGACGATGGGGTCTCTCGGGACACACGATTTGTATTAAGCAGGAATTTGGCCCCGTTAGAGCGGAGGCTGCTGATCTTTCCCCAGGGACTGTTGACCCCAGAGAGCCCCTGAGCTGCAGCCTGCCCCACGCACAAGGTGGTGATCGATCCATACGGCCCCTCGGCTGGGCTGGCATCAGCCCAGGGAAATCCCCCCATTCCCAAGGGATTCAAGGGCAAAGGTTCCATGAAAGGGAGCGAGCTGTGAGAGTTTTGATGGTGGTCTCACAGAGACTGGACTGGGCTGCCCAGGGAGGTGGTTGAGGCCCCATCCCTGGAGGTGTTCAAAAGAGGGGTTGATGTAGTGCTGGGAGGTCTGGTTTAGTGATGATGCTCCTTGTTTGTTGTGTGGGTGTCTATTTTTGTCAGTTAGGTTGACGGTTGGACAAGATGATCTTTAAGGTCCCTTCCAACCTAGAAGATTCTGTGATTCTGTGCCTCCTCCTGCACCCACAGAATCACCCACCCAAGGTTTGTCCTGAAAAGAGGGAGCTCTGAGCTGGACACGGCTGAAGCTCACCCATCTCCTGGACCACTGGACCAGTGAAACCCTTCACTGTCTTTACAGACAGTCCTGAAGAATGTAACTTCATTTCAGTGCGGGGATCCCACCCAAGGTTTGTCCTGAAAAGAGGGAGCTCTGAGCTGGACACGGCTGAAGCTCACCCATCTCCTGGACCACTGGACCAGTGAAACCCTTCACTGTCTTTACAGACAGTCCTGAAGAATGTGACTTCATTTCATTGTGGGGATCTTTTTTGTCCACTCCCTCAACACAGCTTCGTGATGAGCTATGTGAAAATAACCTTTTCTCTACAACAACAAAAAAACCTGAGAAAATTATGGAGGTTTTTCTACATATTGCATTGAATATCCTAAGTTTGGGGCTGCTGGCGATGTAGTTCTAGCCTTACAATCAGCATCATATAGAGCTAAATATTGCTGCTGCTGGGTTTTTTCTGCCTCCCTGTAACTATCCTTCACAGCAGCAGCACCTGCTGAAACACAACTTCTTCTCCCCTCTGCAGAGGTGCCTTTTCAGAAGTTTTCCTGGTGAAGCAAAGAAGCACCGGGAAGCTCTTTGCTCTCAAGTGCATCAAGAAGTCTCCTCTCACAAGGGAGAGCAGCTTGGAGAATGAAATAGCAGTGCTGAAAAAGTGAGTATACGTCCATTGTAATGGCAAGTAGAACAAATGTCCTTTCCCAAGACCTGTGGCTCTACAGTAAGAAGCATATAAAAGAAATAAGTATTCATTTTTAAAGAATATATAAGTATTACTGTGAATTAGTGGATCAGTAAAGTTTCCTCTGGTCTGGTCCTCTGTGGCTGATGCCCTGGTGCCGTGAAGGGAGTTTGCAGAGGCATCAACGGTCTCCTGCCATGCAGGGTGAGGGACACTGGCTGGGACCAGCCAAGTGAACGTTCTCTGGGGATGAAGCAAAGCAACTGGTGGGTTTCCCACTTGAAAAACCACTTTGTCCTGGCCAGGTTTCTGACCCACGTTTCTCTTTGCAGAATAAAGCACGAAAACATCGTGACTTTAGAAGACATTTACGAGAGCACAACCCACTTCTACCTGGTGATGCAGCTGTAAGTGTCCACAGAGCCCTTTCTTTGTGGGGTGCAGAGGAAGAGGAGGCAGGGCCAGGGCCATGAACCCCATTTCTCACCCCCACATTAACTGCCCACACAGGAGCCCAGCAAACTCCTCTCAGTATCGGGGCGAGAGCCGCGGGGTTTGACGTGTGGGACACTTCTCACGCTGCCTTGGACCATGCTCCTTTTAGCAGCAAGTTTTTAAAGCAAGATGAGGCTCTATTTATGCAAATTAATTCATCACAGTTTAGCAGGGCAGAGACAGAAGTATTTCTAATTAAAGCTGTGCCATGCAGGGTTTCTAGAAATGAAAATGGGCAACGTGTCAGCTGCAGAGAAAGCAGCTCCGAGCACCCGGCTGCTCCTGCTAACTTGCAGATTTAGCTAAAGGAAGCCATCGCAGAAAACCACAGATCTGCTGGTGTAGCAGAGCCTGGAGCCAGTCCTGCCTCCTACCCTTACCCAAATTCCCCAGGTTTACCAGTAACACTTACTGGTACCCTGAAACTGCACCCGAGAGAGTCCATCGGTCTCTCAGACTCTCAACTGCTGCCCAAGGAAGGGCTCTGCTGTAGGTGGAGATGTAAAAGGACCAGCAAGTTACCTTGCCTCGTACAGGAAAGCTTGAGTAGCTTTCTTGAATTTTCTTTTCAGCCTCTTTCTTTCTGAACTACCATTTCCACAGGGTCTCTGGGGGAGAGCTGTTTGACCGAATTTTGGAACGAGGAGTTTACACGGAGAAAGATGCGAGTGTGGTGATCCACCAGGTCCTGACAGCAGTGAAATATCTCCACGAAAACGGGATCGTTCACCGTGACCTGAAGGTGAGCCCCGACCCTCGGCCCCAGCCGTGCGGTGGGGAGCTGGCACGACCACGGGCTCTGCCCTGGCACTTTCTGCTGTTCCTTTCCATTTTTCTACCACAAATTTCAACCTCCGACCACTCTGTGTTCACAGCCTGAAAACCTTCTTTACCTTACTCCCGAAGAGAATTCCAAAATCATGATCACGGACTTTGGCTTGTCTAAAATGGAACAGAACGGCATCATGTCCACGGCCTGCGGGACCCCGGGATACGTCGGTGAGCGGGGGATCAGGAATGGGCTGGTGCCAGTGGAGGTTGTGCACGTACAGTAGCTGGTGCCAGTGGAGGTTGTGCACGTACAGCACCTTGCCTAGCAGAAAGGAAAAGAAATACATAATTATGTATTAACAACCTGCTACTCACTGATGCACTGCGTAGACACACAAAGACCGGATTATAAACGAGTGTAGAGGCTGCGAAATCCCAGAATGTTTAAAAGTGCAAAGAAAAGGATAATTTTAAGAGCAGTATAATTCAGCGTTAGTCATGTATTTGTTGAAAGATTACAAAAATAATTTTAACACAAAGGGATTTTGTTCAATGCCCACTAGACTGCATTAGCTTGATCCACAGTTACCGGGTAAAACCTGAGGACACCTCAGGCAGAAATTGTCAGTGGTTCTTTCCGTTCAATGGCATAAAATAGTTACAAAAAGCCCAGCCCAATCCCACCGGTAAATGGGGCAGTTACGGGCTGATTCTCTGCACTGGCACCTCAGAGGCCAAGCATACAAGAAACTACTGCTTTTCCCAGTATTGGATAATTTATTATTGCTTAGAGTTTTCATTTGGTTTTGCTGTTGTGCAGCCCCCGAGGTCTTGGCCCAGAAGCCCTACAGCAAAGCCGTAGACTGCTGGTCCATCGGAGTCATCACCTACATCCTGTGAGTACGAGCAAACCCCATCCCACTTCTTTTGCCAGGAGTTCTCAGGAGTTCTCTCCTCATAAGGGAGGAGAGGCTGAAAGAGCTGGGACTCTTTAGTTTGGAGAAAAGAAGGCTGAGGGGAGACCTTATCAATGCCTACAAGTATCTCAAGGGCGGGCTCAGGAAGGAGGGAACCAGACTCTTTTCAGTGGTTGCCAGTGAGAGGACAAGGGGCAATGGGCACAAGTTGGAACATAAAGGGTTCCACTTGAATATGAGGAAGAACTTTTTCACGGTGAGGGTGGCAGAGCCCTGGAACAGGCTGCCCAGGGAGGGTGTGGAGTCCCCTTCTCTGGAGATTTTCAAGACCCGCCTGGATGCTCCTGAGTAACATGCTCTGACAAGCTCTGGGTGGTCCTGCTTTAGCAGGGGAGTTGGACTAGATGATCTCTATGGTCCCTTCCAACTCTAAAAATTCAGTGAAATTCAGCGAAATTCAGAGTTTCCCATCCCCTCCGTCCCGCACACCCCTCTGCAGGGCGGCAGCGCCGGCGGGGACAACACCAGAGCTCCCACAGCAGCCACGAATTCTTCCTCTGCACGGATTCACCAGACCGTGGCAATGAGCAGAGATGAAAGGAATCACATTTTCTCTATTATGTGCCTCATCCTATGCTTTGCTGGGTTTTTTGTTGGTTTTTTTTTTTTTTGGTTGCCTACAAATACCATTCAATCTTCCCTTGGTACTTTTTGTTTCATTTCCTCCCACACCATGCAGCTATGTACCAGCTGTGGCTTTGTCCTTTCGCTGCTGCAGTTAAGTTTTTAACTCTTTTCTGCAGCTTTATTGATACGCTTTGATGTGAGGGACAGATTTGGGGGCAGAGCAGCCCGTTACTCACTCTCACTTGTGTTGCCCACGTGTGCCCAGCCCGGCCGGGCTGCAGAGGAGCCTGTGCCGAGGTGGACACTGCTTTCTGCTCTGTTCCAGGCTCTGTGGGTACCCCCCTTTCTATGAAGAGACCGAATCCAAGCTGTTTGAAAAGATTAAGGAAGGCTACTATGAGTTTGAGTCTCCGTTTTGGGATGATATCTCTGAGTCAGGTAAATCCCTGGGCGCTGGGAACCTCCCGTCAGCTCCAATCCCGACCCCACCAGCTCCAATCCCGACCCTCAGGCACAATCCTGCTCCTGCCAAGCCCCTGGGCACCCCCAGCACCCCCATCCCAGCACCCCCCATCCTTTCTCAAACATGTTATCACAGCTGAAGCCTCTGTTACCCCAGCGCTGATCTCCACAAACAGTTAACGAGCTCAGAGCGGGCTTTGGTTTCCCTTAGAATCAGGGCAACTTCGGGGGTTTTATCACCCTGTTTTTGCTTTTCTTGAGGGGTTGGGTTTTGAGTTTTTTTCCCTTTTTTCTTTTCCCCTTTGCTTTTCTCCCCATCAGGTCACGTTTCCTCCCAGCCCCCATCTCACCCTTCCACCACCCACCCGCTGGGGAGCTCACGGGCACCAAGTTTCCTGAAGCAGCATCTTGGCAGCGTGTTTTGAACATCAGCCTTTTACACACACAGACAGCACCAGCAGGAGGTTTGTTAGGACATGACTACACGCACCACAACCAACCCTGAAAAGAAAAAAAAATAATAAAAAAAAAATTAAAATACAGGAATGTAAATACTCTTCAGGGCAACTTCTAAATCTGCTCAGTTTGCACTTTCTGATTTTTTTTAGAGTTTTTTTTTTTTTTTAGAGTTATTTTTTATCTGAAGTAGTTCAGCTGGAATTCACATAATCTAAGCGTGGAGGTTGGCACATCCCCAGTTAACACGTTTTCATCTGGAGCCCTTCACCCCAAACACCTCCCTTGAATGGGGAGATGAAGCGGGAGGAACAACACCCCCTTGGGACCACCCTCTGCCACCTTTATCCACCAGCCTTTGCCACATCCCGTCGGGATCATGTCTTGGAAGACGGAGAAAATAACCTTTTTTCTCTCTCCTTCTCCCTCCCCAAACAGCCAAGGACTTCATCAGACACTTACTGGAGAAAAACCCGAGCACGAGGTTCACCTGTGAAGAAGCCCTGCGGCACCCGTGGTGAGTGGCCAGTGGGCACGGGGCTTTGCCAGCCCCCGTGGCAGAGCAGGGGTGTCACCCTGGACCCGTCACCAACCCCATCCCCCTCTGCCTCCACGGGGCCCTTCCTTTTTTATGTGCTGAGGAAGAAAATGATGAATAATTAAAGATGCAATTTGTGCACATTTGCCTTCACAAACAGAGGCGAAGACGAAATCCCACCCTGAGCCTTCCCAAAGCTTTGAAGTGTGTGTTTGCGTTCCATTTTGTTGCTGTTTTTCCTTTGGGTTTAATTATTGCTGATTGAACGTACAAAGCAGGCCGTCGCCTGCAGAATGTGGAATGCCTTTACAAATGCCATCTGCCCACGAGCCCGTTTTCTCCTCTCCCCATCTGCAGGATTAATGGCAATACAGCCCTCCACCGTGACATATACCCATCTGTCAGCGCCCAGATTCAGAAGAACTTTGCAAAGAGCAAATGGAGGGTAAGTCGGGGCTGGTGGGAGCCTCCAGCCATTTCAAGCCCCCGAAACAGCACGTGGGGTTCCAGCTGTGTCGGGAAGCACCCAGCACCGAGACCCCCCCAAAACTGGATATTCCCCACTGCAATGTGGGCTGGTGGATTTACCACAACCATAGCACTAGAGCGGCCTCGCCAAGAAAGTAAAGGGGAGGGAGAAATGATTATTGCCTTTATATTGAGGGAGTAAATTGGTGCTCCATCAGCAGATCTTTCTGCAAGCTTAATCCAGCTTTTCCTCCTTTCAGCCTTGAGATAATTTGGTACTTCATTTACATCAAGTGTTCTAGTAAGAATTTGGGCGGAGAGGGGAAAGCCATAGGAACCCACGTGTACGACAGCATTTTAAATACATTCAAAATTCAGCTCTAGTCTCCGTTTCACGCTGCGGGGTAATTTACAGCTGTTCCCTCATTTCCTCCCGTAGAAATGGTTTTAATCTTCCAAAGCACCCGCAGTTTGTACTCACTGGAAACCCTGGTGTTTATAGAATCATAGAATCATAGAATGGTCTAGGTTGGAAGAGACCCTTGGGATCATCGAGTCCAACCATCTCCCCTACTCTACAAAGTCCTCCCCTACACCATGTCCCTCAGTACCGCAGCTAAACGGCCCTTAAACACAGCCAGGGATGGGGACTCCACCCCCTCCCTGGGCAGCCTGTTCCAATGCCCGACCACTCTTTCTGTGAAAAATTCTTTCCTAATGTTCAGTCTAAACCCACCCTGTTGGAGCTTGAAGCCGTTCCCTCTCGTTCTGTCACTAATTACCTGTGAGAAGAGACCAGCACCAACCTCTCTACAGTGTCCTTTCAAGTAGTTGTAGAGAGTGATGAGGTCTCCCCTCAGCCTCCTCTTCCTCACACTAAACAGCCCCAACTCCCTCAGCCGCTCCTCATACGATTTGTTTTCCAGCCCCCTCACCAGCTCCGTTGCCCTCCTCTGCACTCGCTCCAGCACCTCGAGATCTCTCTTGGATTGAGGTGCCCAAAACTGGACACAACACTCGAGGTGTGGCCTCACCAGTGCTGAGCACAGGGGCACAATCACCTCCCTACTTCTGCTGGTCACACTATTTTTGATACAATGCCAGGAAGGAGCAGGTCCCTCTTCCCACACCCTGTGCCAACAGACAGTGGGTGCTCCCCAGCCCAGCGCTGCCCACCCTGGGGTAGGGGGGACAGTCCCCTTGCCCCCCCAGCACCATTCCGTGCTCACCCCGGGGTTTTTCTCCTCTTCCCCAGCAAGCCTTCAACGCCGCCGTGGTGGTGCATCACATGAAGAAGCTCCACATGAACGGTCACGCCACGGCTGACGGCACCCTCCCCGTTATCCAAGTCTCGGAGGCCTCCAGGCCCAACACGCCGGCGGTGGCCAGCAGGCCAGCAACCCCACACGCAGACAAGGAGACCCCCCAACCCCTGGTCCCCACGCGGGGCTGCCCGGATCCTCCCTCTCCACTGGAGGAAGACATAGGAATGAGAGAGGGAAAGCTCCAAAACCACCCCGAGAAGGCAGCGCTGCCAGCGGGGAGCAGCCTGGCCCTGCCGGAGAACCACAGCCCCCCCGGCAGAACCTCCTGTGGCTGCAGTCCCACCTGCGTGGGGCACGACAAAACAAAGACATCCTTCTGCTCCGAGACGGTGCTGCTTAAAAAATCTGCAAAGTCCCAGTAGGTAGCCAAGCCTATCAGCCATAACTTCCAACAAAGTATATGGGAATAACCATCCCTGGAAGGAGTGATCTGGCGCATAAGTTGCCAGCCCCGGGTGGAGGTAGAAGGGAGGGAGGAGGAAGGATGGAGGGGCTGGATGACTGTGCCCAGCCAAGTGTCCCCCAGGGCTGCAGGAGCAGCTGGTGAGGTGGGTTGCCCAGGCTGTGAGGCAGGTTGCCCAGGCTGTGGGGCAGAGCCTGCAGCGAGCCCAGGCAGCAGCGCTCGGTGCCACGCTCGTGGACTCCAGCACATTTGCTCTCCAAAAAACCAAAATCACTGGTGGTTAAAGCTGCCGATGCCAATTCCTCAGCTGGGGTACAGTGCCCAGCCCCTGCCTTTGCTGCAGCGCTGACTGGCACCCAGCTCTGCTTTGCTTTCAGCAGTTGGTATTCTTTATATCAAAACCACGTTTTGAATTCATCTACGGAATGATCATAAATATTACTAATTCTTTTTTTTTCCTTCTTCTTCTTTCTCTTCCAATTCTTCCATTTCCAACCAGCCATTTCAAATCAGAAGTTCTTGTTCCAATGAAAACCAGTAAACACTCTTCTCACTGTGGCACCGGGCAAACTGGAGTTTGTTTGATCATGTGAGGAGGGAGGAGGCAGCCACCGGGCTCCCCACATTGCCAGCGGTAAGTGCTCTGCAATCCCATCACTAGCAGCTTTTAATTAATCCCATTATGGCATGAAAAAGGGAAAGGCACAAATAGCAAAGTGATTGTACAGGAAATAATTTGACTCGCAGTTTTTTTTGTAACAGAAAAAGCCCGAACTAAGCCATCTTTGAAGGAAGAAATCACCTTTCAGCTTCCATTAAGGCCAGTCCAGTGACTCTGAATCCAACTCTTACAATTACACCAGGGTTGCCCGAGGAGCGTGTGAAGGGAAGCCAAGCATGGACCTTGTTGTATCAAACTCTACAGCTATTCAGAGCTGCTCACTGGGAATCAGACTGGGACCAAACAGCTCCATCAGCTGGGATGAGGGCTTTTCAGCTGGGTCTCAGCTGTGACCATGAGCAAAGGGCTGACAAGAGGCTGCTGGTCCATGGCCAAGCGTAGACAGGACATAGACATCTCTGCAGCCCAAAGGGCCCTTCCCCTCCCCAGACTCGGTCCCGGCAGGGCAGGTTAAGTGACTTTGTCACCAGAGAGATGTTCATTTTGTAGGAGAGCAGAGTACAATTGTGAAAGCATCATCCTGTTTGACCGTAGCTGGGATTAATTCAGGACTCTCTAAATTGTAATCATTTGCACCCCATTATCTATGAGCAGTAAGAAGCATCGCTATGAGATCCTGCAATAAAGAACGCCCCTCAAAGGTGAGCATGTGCTAGCAGAGTTCTCCACAAAAGCTACAAAAAGTGAGCTACGTCCTATCATCTTTTATGACACTCTCTTCTGATGAGATTATATGAAGAGAACTGTAAAATACAAAGGATTAATGGAAGAGACAAACGCAAGTAAGATCTCCTATGGGCTCCAAAAGGCCCGTTCCAATAGTCTTTTATAAACAAGGCACAGAAAGGGATCTAAGCTGTTCCTGACCCCCATGCTCCTGCTCATTAACAGAGCGCATTTTGAAGGTGGCAGTCTAGGGAAACAAAGTTCAATCCCCAATTGAAATTCTCTCTCTTGCAGAAACAGAAGGGCTGTTTTACTCTTTTCTGCACTTCAAAGCCAGATCTGCATCGACAGTGCAAGGGAGAAAGGAGGCTGTGTCCCACCAGGAGCAGGCGGGCAGCAGCGACCGGCCGGTGACAGCGGCACGTTAGTCCCAGGCAGCCATCCATGCAGTGACCTCGGGGTGTCTCTGGATCGTTGAAGCTGGAAGAAGGCACTTTAGCAAGGGAAAATCTGAGGCTACTGCTCACATACTCAGTGTATATTATCCATACGACATCGCTCAGTGCTATAAGCTTTTGTTTTCTCTATACTCTTTAGTTGTCCAATGCATAACGAGAGCATTGCACAAGGTAAACCCTACAAACCAAAGCCATGCGGAATTTTACTCAGCAGCAGCTCAGCTATTTTTACAACCTGCATCCCATCCATTCCTTGGATTTTGGTTAGTCCCAGGCTTCGGCACTCTGAAGTTCAGCATCAAGCAGCTGCCCAGGCTGCTCATTTCTCACTTTGGCTACGGAAGGAGAGACAACCTGCTAGCACCCTCTGTATGTCTGATAATAACCACAGCGAGGTCTAAATCCCCTGCTTTCAAGTCTGTAATTGCACAATAAATACTTGCTTAATAAAGCTGGGTTTTGTTTTGTAAAGTGCCTCTTGGTTATTCATAGAAATTTGATGGGAAACGGTCTATTAAGTCCCTTCTAAAGCGTTCCCCGCGCATCTGCAGACCTGCTCCCTCTGGTATTTTTCTGGCAAAGCGTGACACGGTAAATAAGCAGATTGTGGCAGAAAGTCAAACAAGACATTTGACTTCACCTTTGAGTACGAGATCGCTTTCCTATTATTTGTATAAATACAGGTATGTTGTCTAGATGAGATGGAGATAAAATTCCCCACTTCCGTGATCCAGTCCTTGAAGAAAGATCTAGGAGGGAAGCGCCGAAGCCACGGCAAGTTTTAAGGATTAACTGCAGCGTAGATAAAAAAGTTTTAAAAAGCCCCACATGGGGGTTTTAATTTGAACAGTGAAATTCAGCTAAAAGAGCTAAAACAAGAAAAAGAAATAATGTCTGGGTTTATAAACCCCTCTGGAAACAGCAGCTTCGGGGATGTTTTCATGTGCAACGGAAGATTGATGTCTCTCCCCCTTTGTCCTCCAAGACTGGGCAGCTCCAGCCAGCCCAAGCAAGGTTCTCCCTCTCCAGGGGGCTGCTCCTTTGGCTCGGTGCAGCTAATTTTCCAGAGGTTCAGAAACTCAATTTACTAAAAATAGAGACGTTGGGCACGTGAGAACTCCAGCCGGAAAAGGGGAATAAATAGAGAAGTCAGTTCCTGCAGAGGGGGAAGGCGACGCCGCGGCAGCGCGGGCGCTCGCTCAGGAGCAGCTCTCGTAGTAGGCGACTCGCTTGTTGATGGTGTCCCGGATCATTCCCACCTGCTCCTCCAGGCCCGACAGCCTGGCAGACTTGGACATCAAAGCCTTGTTGCTTTCCTGAATCTCCTTCTCTAAAGCTGAGGAGAGAGGGCAGGAAAGGGTGACGCGATGATGGGACGGGAGGAAGGCATCGTGGCCATCGCGCTCCCCGGCAGGTTGGGCTGAGCCTCCACCTCCCTCCTGCCAGCTCTGCTGGGGCCAGGAAAACAACTACCTTCCTCCTGTATTCTCCCTTCTCCCCCTCAAAACACCCCAACACAACTGTTCCAAACAAAGCCATTACTTCTGAGTGCTTAAAAATGGAAGTAAGCGTGTGGAACAAAATGGGGGCACACTGACATCGTAGGCAGAACATCCCTTCCACAGCCACCCACACCCCCACGCAAAATCTGAACTTACTGGCACAGCACCAGCAGATGCAGCCCAATTCTGCACCACCTCACTCCCCAAAGGATGCTCTCCTTCTCCTAATTTCTTTCCCTCACCCCGCTGGGAGTCAAAAGCCCTTCCCCAGGGTGTGAGATTATTATTACATTGAGTTCACAAAGAGTCTTACTTTCCATCCTGAGCATCATGGCCAGAGTTTCCTCAAACAGAGCCTGTGCCTCCAGGTCTATGCTTTGCACCCTGCGGCCCTGCTCTCCCAGATCCGGGCTCTGCTCCATCCTCCCCTTCAGCTCAGCGTACATCTGCTTCACTTGTTCAAAAGCCTGTGGAAAAGCAAATAATGTTTTTACAAACATCCTACCATGCAGGTAGGATGAAGCAAAAAGACTGGGGGGAAGGGGATTTGCCAATACTGAATCTGTTTTAAATATGAAAGGGATGGTGCACTAGAGTTTTGCCACGAGGTTATCATGCAAATGAGTAGCAGTTTGTGATGCACCCCATAAGATGCTGACTGACAGCTCTATGGGCTACTGTGCCTCAGGCAGGAGATACAGCAGAGAGAAGTTTCCAGCAAAAAGCATTAGGATTGGGAAAGATCCTGGAAACAGGACAGGACAGGCTGGAGAGGTGGGCCCAGGTGAACCTCATGAGGTTCAACAAGAGCAAATGCAAGGTTCTGCACCTGGGCCGGAACAATCCTCACCACCAATACAAACTAGGGGGTGAGGTATTGGAAAGCAGCCCTGAGGAAAGGGACTTGGGGGTGCTGGTGGATGAGAAGTTGGACATGAGCAGGCAGTGGGCAGCTGCAGCCCAGAAGGCCAATCCCATCCTGGGCTGCATCAAAAGATGCCTTGCCAGCAGGTCCAGAGAGGGGATTCTGCCACTTTACTCTGCTCTGGTGAGACCTCACCTGGAGTATTGTGTGCAGGTCTGGAGCCCTCAATATAAGAAGGACATGGACCTGATGGAGAGGGTCCAGAGGAGGGCCACAAGGATGATCAGGGGGATGGAGCACCTCTGCTCCGAGGACAGGCTGAGGGAGCTGGGGTTGTTCAGCCTGGAGAAGAGGAGGCTCCGGGGAGACCTAATAGCAGCCTTCCAGTACCTGAAGGGAGCCTACAGGAAGGCTGGGGAGAGCCTGTTTAGAAAGGCCTGCAGTGACAGGACGAGGGGCAATGGCTTCAAGCTGGAGGGGAACAGATTTAGACTGGAGATGAGGAGAGGGTTCTTCACTGTGAGGGTGGTGGAGCACTGGAACAGGTTGCCCAGGGAGGTGGTTGAGGCCCCTTCCCTGGAGCTATTCAAGGAGAGGCTCGACGAGGCCCTGGGCAACCTGGTCTAGTTGGGGGTGTCCCTGCTGACTGCGGGGGGGTCGGACTAGATGGCCTTTGGAGGTCCCTTCTGGCCTGGGCAAGTCTATGATTCTATGGAAACATTCACTGGTGGGATAATGCATCAGATTAATGCAAAGTGACATGACAACACACGAGCTGTGGGCTGAACAGGAAACCCTCCTCGCCTCGTCCACAAACGTGCCAGGACACAGCTGGCTTTGCTGTCTAATGACAGGGGGTAGCAGAGCGTGGCTGTGACCGCCCTGGCTGGTACCTGCTGGGCACTCCTGGCCTCCTCGCCCGCCTGCCCGGCCGTGTCCCGCGCGTCGCTGGCCCGCAGGCGGTTCTGCTCCGCGCTGCCCTGCAGCCGGGACAGCCCCTCCATCAGCCCCTCCAGCTGCTCCGCCACGGACTTCACGTTCTTCTCTGCCGGACCAAGAACAGCCTCGATCTAAAAGCAGAGTGAAGAAGGAAAATCACACCCAAACCCCGCTCCTGGTGGTTTTTTTCCATTTTCTGCTTGACAGCCACATCGCAGATGCGGGGTTTCAGCAGGGAGCGGGGACTGCTCCCTGCACATCTGAGCATGGCAGCCCCGGGGCTTGTCTCAGGGGGCTCCATCAAGGATCGGGGACTAGAGTTTGGAGAAGTACAAACAAGGAACAGCAGAATGGAGAGATTTTTACAGCAAAAGCTTCACCAGATCCCATTTCCCAGCTGTGCTGGTGCACGACTCTACCAAGCGGGGAAGTTTCAAAGGGGCGGTGGCCAGGGCAGAGCGTCGCTATTTGGGAAATCACTGCACACCACTCACTTCGTCAACGCGCTCCTGGATGAAGCGGAGGGAAGAGCCAGAGCCCCTGATAGCACCCTGTGCCTCCAGGAGCATCGTGTTGGCTCGTCGCAGATTCCCAACCACCTCCTCCACATTGCCCTCCACGGCGTTCGCCCGGTTCCTGGGGAAATGTGGGAAACAGCCAAGAATGAGCGTAAATAATTAAGGTGAGCTGGAAGTCACGGTTGCAGAGGCTAAATAAGGAAGCTTGAGAAGGAAGACTGTTGTTACTGAGAAGGCTGTGATCTCCCTCCCCCAAAAGCCACAAGCCCACACATCTGCACACACTGCACTCCCGGCAGGTTTCTTTTCCAGAGAAGTGTTCCTGCCATTTCATACCCCCAAGCAGAGGAGACAAACTGAGAACGGGAGAGAAAAGCCTTCCTTTAAACTAGATAGAAACATTTATTTTTAAGTAGTGCAAGAAAAAGTATTGAAGGGAAAGCAATAACCACTGAACCGGTTTCAATGGACACTTCTCTGCTTGCAGTGGGACTATTCGGGTCGGGTGACAGAGCTCCCTGCAGAAAGCCAGACTCCCTTGTCTCATCACTTCCAGCAGGTTAAGCAGGTGTCAGACACTATCAAGGAGTTTACACACTTATCCCGCTAACCTTCTCGCTGGGATATTGCTGCAAGTCAACACGTGACAAAGTAGATGCTCCAAATTTCCAAGGACACCCTGTAATTACTTTTTAAGGGACCATGGGATAATCCTCCCAACTTTCACCCAGAAAACAAATAGCCCATTTAATCTCCTCATGCTCTCTTGTGCAATTAGGATGTAGGTCACCAACATCAAGTAATACCAGGGCAACCCTGTCATCTCCCATCACAGGGACTCTAGAGAAAAGCTTCCATCACTTTTAGTAAAGACCTCCTTGTTCTGGTAGCTATAACAAGATCTATTCTTGGCAGCCAGATTTTGGATTTGCATTGTAGGGAGGTGTCTGCAGAGATTGCAGACTCATTCTTTTAGGCACTGTATGGACATCGAGGATCCAGGGCTAAAACTTTGCGTTGTGCAAGTCGGTGCAGCTCCAGCAGGGTGAGATTTCAACCCAACTGAGATCCACCTCACGCTCTGGCTGAGGGACCCTCAGCTGCAGAACGTCCTTGAACCCCAACCGACCTGGCTTGTTCTGCCTCCTGCTGAAGCTGCTTGGCCTTAGCGATGTCCTCGGCCGTCTGAGCAAGTACGCTCTCCGGGCACTGCAGCTTCTTTGCCAGATTTTGGATCTCAGTCATTTTTCTCAGGACTGCAGCAGCATCCGTGGGGAGACGCAGGGAGAGAACAGACTCGCTGATTTCCTGGATAGTGGCCGGGTCCATGTCCTTGTCTATGGAGCAAACAGACAGACATCGTCAGAAACGGGAGGTGGAAGGGAGAAGACACGAGGGAGGATGAAGGTGGGCACCCAGCCATGAGAGCTCTCACACACAGTCTCTGCTTCAGACACCTGCCAGGATCCCCCCTGAATTTAATCCCCTTGAATTCAATGTACTTCACTGAATTCACATCAGCAAAACTTTCAGGAAAGTGCTGAAATGATACCTTTAATTTGGTGACAAGAACAGCACGGCCAAGCCCAGAGCAGAGTCGGATGGACCTCACTGAGCAGATGAGGTTGTGTTTCAAGACAAGCCTTT